AAAAAATTCTTAATTTCTAAAACGACGATCTAATGGAACAAGCGATATGATCTCTACGACCATACACATCTTCGGTTCCTACTTCATTTCCATCCTAATATAGCTTAGTGATTAATGGCGACCAGCTTCAATTCATTGTAGATTTGGTAAAATTGCTGATCGTAGCTTTAACAATAGAAGCGTAGAATGCTGTCTGTTTTGTCACTTATCTTGGACTATCACGTTGAGATTTATAATCGGTTCCGCTTGCTTAAACTTGGTTCAATGAAATAAGAAAAGAGTGCGTACTAGTATGTCAGATATGTGGACTAAAAATAATGTTGACAATAGACGCTGATATGAAAATTTAGTTTCGTTTCATATCACAAATACAAAGGGTTTGATTCTGGAAAGAGATAAATGTTATAACTCGCTTGTCGTCAAACTGGACATCGATCGTTAGCAAAAGTCTCTTACAATTTGTTATTTGTAGAAGCCATTTCTGGGTCTGGGGCCCGTTTCTCAAAAGTCACGGTAAATACCAGCTCAAAAGGATTAGATATCTAGGGACGACTAGAAGAAGTTCATGGATTAGATTTTTAGAAATTATGGCTTTGGTCCACACATAGTTTTCGAGAAACGGGCCCTCAAGCGTCAAATGTGGGTTGACTGTGCATGGTTTTGGTCTCGTAAGGAGCTGTCCATGGCTCCAGAAAATTCTAACGGAAATATTCCATTCTCGTCAATAGAGTTATCAAGAATCCTCCTTAATTTTTAATGATCTGTCTGGTCTTTTCGACGATAACTTTATAAAATTTCATTTTCGTCAAAACTTCATGTTTCTTTTTGTCACAGAAAATTCTTAACGTCACAATTGGAACAGGTCATTCCATCTGCCAGGTTGACTTTAGTTTTGAAAAAAATTGACATTATAGAAACTGGGATTCAGTCAGTATAACTTTCTCTTAACACGTTTTAAGAAAGCAATCACGGAAACATAAGCAGAATTACAAGTCAGAAAAAATAATCAACACTATAGTAAGCGTCTGTTACAACTTTTTAAAAGTTTGTTACCAGTGCAGTTACATCTGACTAATTTGGAAAGACGCACATACAAAGTTTGTTTACAAGTCTACAGCACATATTCCATTCTAAAAGCAAGGGTAAACTGGCGCCAAATTTGTCACACTCCTATACATGTAAGCATGTGTTTGAAAACGTACTTTTTTAGGAATCATCATCGAAATCTGCCATACAGAATCATCAGTTAGGTAGAAGCGGCCATTGTACAACGTGCTGGCGCGGAATCTCGAACCTCTAATGTATTAGAACGAGGTAATGATTTTTGCGCCGAAGTTTGAAACTTATTGCGTGATGTGCTAGCGAGCCCGTTGGTTATGGAAGTGAAATGGAGATAGTTGTCTGGGCAACATTATTATCCTTATGTACTTACCGTTCCGTTACCCCATGTCGTCCAACACTCCTGAGTTTGTTTACATTTGGATCAGTAGACAGAACATAACCTACAAACACGAGAAACCGAGCGAAAAGCTTTAAAATGCTCTTGTTTGAGAAGGAAAGAGAACCCTCATAGAGTACTATACAGTTTGAGAACATTGGCTCGTTGATTATTATTATTATTTGGAGGGAATGCCATAATGCGATTTACTAATAGCGTTTATATTTAATCAAGTCAAAGGGATATCAATGGGCAGTGGATCGTGAACAATTAGTACGCTAATCAATCATTTTATGATTTAATCTAAAAGTCGCAATATAGCGTATGATTACATGAGCTTGCTGATCTTTCAACAGAGCATGAAATTTAGTTACCACACCACATCGTCCACAAGCGGGCAGAAAACTGAAGATTGTCACTCACTTGTGAAACACTAAAGTGAACTTTCTCATAAAATGTTTTATGAAAGCAATCTCTATGATGAAAATTATAGTGCTGAAATTATTCTCCAAAATTAGGCAGTAGTTTGATGCCCATGATGTGACATGTGCTAATCTAAAAAGAAACTATTAGATTGGATATGAGTTGTTTCACGTGATCAAGCCGTAGATTTTAAAACTTGTGGATTTAATTTGACGGACACCGCAAGATTAGCTGCGTTTTGGGGGACAGTTCGAAAGTCAAATTGATGAATCCGGTTACCCCTGAGCTCACAAAGTTCCCCTATTTTAAATAATAGGTGGATTTGAAGATGCGCAATCTCATCGATGATAGTTTTTTGTGACTCTTTTTCTGGTTGTTTGAACCATGGAAACAAAGAAAGAAATTGCGATGCACACTTCACTTACCATTTCTGAAAACTTTGATTTCATTCTTTATTCTTTTTTCCTTACCTTTTTTGTAAACCACAAGGCCTCGTATCCCTGCATGAAGTGAAGTGAAACTGGGAAAACAATGGCACTTGAAATGAATATGATATCTCCAAGAAAACACTCGAAAATTATTATGAATCAATGTTGAGTTCTTTGGTAGAGAAACTGAATGCAATTAAAAAGAATCAAAACGATCAAAGTTTAAAAAAAATAATCCGATTATTTTTTTTTAACTTTGAAGAATAACTCATCACGATATACTAAACGTAATTCAGATATAAAAGTGGAGATCCCCAAACTCCTTATATACTCGTGTTCCGAAAAGGTCTGACCCCAAAGTTGCATTGCGCATAGAAATGTTAAATTATTATGGCATGAGAAGAACAGGTCGGATGCTGAATACCATATGATCGATGCGTGGCAAATTTCGCGTCAGGCTTAAAGTGACTCAGTGGTGATTTGATTGTCGTTGGCGCTCGAATAAACTTCTACGTTCCTTTCCCTTTTGAGCTCCCATGCAGCCACAAAGAAAAAATACATTCCTTGAAAGTGCACTGACGCTAAAAGTAAAAGAATGTTGTCTATTGTACGTGTTGATTAGAACATCAGTCCGTAAATTAAGCCAGTTCTTTCTTTTGAACAGCTAACAGCTCTTAATTCGCTCCACCATGGCAAATTAAAATTAGCAAATCAAATTTGGAATAAGCATGCATGAAAAACCTCTGGAGTGAGTATATTATAACTTAATTGCAAGAACTTCCTTGCAACTAAAGGAAAAATTGAAAATGATTAAATCTTTTGGCCTCTGAATTCTGAAGTCAAGCCCCTTTTATTGCATTAATTGTCTCTCTATTTTGACTTGTTGAGAGGAGGTTAATGTTTGGACATTGATTAGCCTGATCCAGAAACGTGGGCTGATAGATAAAAGAAATTGAATTAGGAGATTTCCCTTCTTTCATATGCGGTTTTACTTTTGTTTTTAAGATTTCGAGAATATTCGGGGCTGCGTAAATTATCGTCAAGCGCAGGTTATCAACAATAAGAACTAGTGATATTTCGAACGGAAAAAACAAACAAAAAAAACAGACGTAGATGGGATCGAAAAACCAGTCCGAAACACCCTACAGAAGGAAAGAAAGAGATAATCAGAAAGTTTTTGAGCTTAATTATTCATGACCAGATTAAATTTGTATCTTAACTTACCCTGACAATAAACTCTCCAAAGTTGAAGAAACAATTAACAATGATCTTATTGGTGCTAACATATGGTTTGCCCGAAATGGTATGAAGAGGAGCAGTTCAAAATACCAGGGGTTAGCGTTAGGAAAAAACAAAGGAACTAATGAGCCAGGGTTCAAGTGTGACGAGTCACAACTTGCCATATACAACTCAATAGAACTTCTTGGCGCAACAATTTCGAAAAGCACATCGCTAAAATATGTATGTAGAAAAGTGAGTCAACAGATCGCTGTATGAAAATGATGCAGAAACTGTTGCCTTTTGAGACTTTCGGATCAGTATAACGTTTTCGGTCTCATTCATTAGATTGCTTCAAAAGCTTCTGAAAAGTCGCGCACTTTTTTACTTACCTACTTGCCTATTTGCTTACTTACTTACTCATTTATTTACTTACGCAGATGATGGCCTAATGTTAATGGTAACAGGCCCAATCACCACAAGTAATAAAAATGATATGATTTTCACCCCAAAATTAACCAACTGACAAGCTTGATATTTCCTGTAAAGAAGTATTTTTTTTCTGTTGCTTCCTTTTTCTACCGGTGGGGCTGCTTAGATGCTTGGGCGCTGGTACAAGAGGAAGGTGCGTGGAAAGTGAATTCGAGCGCGAAATGCGCGACAATCAAATCGCCAGAGAAAAGTGAGCGAACTGATAGGAGTCAATTAGAACGACGTGAAACTTGCCACACACCGGTCACATGGCATTGAAAATTGAATGTATTCTGAACTGCATTAAACTTGTTTATCCCTCACCTTAAGTTTTCAATACTTCTGTGTGCACCACAATTTCTTTGTTTGCACGGTTCAACCAACCAGAAAGAGTTCCCAAAAAATTTATATTGACGTCAGAAAATAAAGAAATGCATGAACCAATGAGTTGTTGCAATATTCTATATCCTCTAAATCTTAAAAAAAAAATGTGATAATTTCTTATTGCTCATTTGTTTTGGATAGACACGTGCGAAAAGTTTTTTCGATCCGGTCACAAGCATGGGAAAAAGAAAAAATGCTGAGTCGCGAGGAGTCGAACCTCAGACCTTCGTGCCCTGATGCTCTGCAACTGAGCCACAGAGACTCCAAGCTGAGCTAAGCTATTACCGCATACTGCTTGGATCAACAATATGGAAAGCCTTATGTGCCAAATAGGAAAATGATGAATCATCAGCTGGGTGGTAAAATGAACAAAGACGTTTTCCGCTTTCAGTATTTCGAGCGTGGAACGAAGACAAAAAATTGGACTCATCATCTTTCTTACACTATTAACTCACACGAAGCTTTTGATACTGCTGATCCTGACAGTATGCAGGATGTGTGTCATATACGAGCTCAATAAGCGCTTGACTACGTTTACAGTAAGCTTAGTGATACAGCGTCTGAGCGTGGCCTGACCCAAAGATTAAACTCATGAGCTCTCAAATTTCTATTTCTTAACTCTCCGAGACATTTTAGGGCTTCGAATGATTGAGAAATAAATTCAGAGGTCCCACATTTATGGTCCCACATGCATGACATCTTGACTGTTCCTCTAAACGTCGTTATACTGATCAAATCCTGAAATAGTCCACAATACTAGTTCTATTTTATAACGATCACGTGACTGAAAGGTTCACTTCAAAAATACGGTCGCACTCGCAAATGTATTTGAAATTACAGCTTTTTAAACGAAATAATGAACAAGAAACTTAATAAAAGCATGCAGCTTATTCTCTGAATCATTAATAATTTTGCGCTGTATATAATGATTGGATTCAGCACCCAACCCACAATAGGCGACGTATTTACGTAGTGTTTCATATATACATACATACTTTATTGAGACTCCCTTCAACGGGGCTTTTCAGTCACGATGTCAACTGTTACATAATAATGGTAATTAACTACTACATAATACTGGTAATTAAGAAAACTTATTTACAGGAACTTAATTAAAATCAAAATGTAATCAAAATTATTCAAAATATATCCAAAATTATTTGTCATGAAACATATTATTGAAAAGTATCCGCTTAAAACTATTAATTTTTTTTAGTGTTCTTACTATTGTCGGCTAGCCCAATCCATTCCCTTGGACACCAAAAGTAAAATGTCCTTTGTCCCATGGACAATCTACATCGGGGGACTACAAAACTGTTACATCCCCTCGTGTTCTTGTTGTGAAATGCTGAACGTTTAACAAAATATCTGCCTAAATAATCTGCAGCTAAGCCATTTACACATTTGAATGCTAAAAGTAAGCCGTTAAATAAAACCTTCTCCGTAACATCTAACCATGTAAGAGATCTCTGTCCCTGAGAGATGTGGTCGAACTTCCTTACACCTAATACAACTCTGGCAGCAAAGTTGTGTAACAACTGCAGTTTGTGTAGATTATGTTTGGATGTTTCCAAACTGAGGAACAATAAAATGGTTTACTAAACACAAAGCTATTTATAAGTAATGAAAGTATTTTCATGTATAAGAGGCGTTTAATTCTACTTATCTGTACTAACTGTTCATGCAATTAGAGGCTGATTTAGTGATATGTACATCATAGGTAAGATATTGATCCATAGATACCCCGTGATTCTCGGAAAACGAAACTAGTGAGATAGTTTTGCCCAACAGGGATAAGGAGATATGAGTTAGCATCTTAATAAGTTGTGCTCGCCGTTCAAGCGGAGTGTAATTTAGTAACAACCAATGGACGCTGTTATGTGAAAGTAAATGCAAAATTTTACGTTCCATTTTACAAGTTTAGTCTTTTGGTTGTACAGGAGCCTGTTTATTGAAAGTTACGGTAATCATTGGTCCTAAAAAGCTGTTTATCAAATATCAATGGCTTTGAAATTCAAAATAGAAAATGTGAAAAAACTAAACAGAACGAGCTGGGTTTTGAGCGAATAACCGCTATGCTATTCCTTAGATTAAGATCTTAGAATATGACCCGCGAAGTTGCCAAAATTTGCGAGAAAAGAACCGCTGGGATAAATCGAATCATTTTAGAATACATGCTGTGTTGTGTAGTAATACGTTTAGAATAATCGATGATATTAGTTCCGTTTTTTCGTTGTTTGTTTGCTTTTTTTTGCCAGAGTATCGTTCATTGCCAAAGCAACTCAATATCCTGGATACATACGCCTAAGGAAATCTTAAGCCAGGCGTTCTAGACATGAAGATCAGCATGGACGAGTTCTTTAACTTTGCCTCTCTAAATTCTGGGTTGTTAGTGAAAAACTTAATATTTGACAACTTGCGATAACGTTTTGATAGCTTGATTATGGAGACCCACATAATTTGAAATTTCACACTTATGTAAAAACATATCGATCAATCAAATTAAAAAAAGTAATATGGTAAATGATTTAAACTCAGAGTAAGATATGATTGTGTAGTCTAATCATCTAGGCCTAGTTGTTCGAAGGTCGATTAGCGCTAACCCAGGACTTAATCTATATCCGGGTTTTTGTATTTCTTTGTTTAAATGCCTTTTTGGAACAATTTTCTCTTTTCTTTTTGGAGCATCCAATAATCATATTTTGGACAAAGAGAATTAGACTGAATTTTCTCTCACAGCTTTCAGACCTGAAACCAGATTTCACTCTAACCCTGGGTTATCTAAACCCAGCCTTGAACAACCCGACCCTGGGCGTGAGAAGTCCTGAGTAGGTAGAGTCTTCTTACCAGGACGATCAGATAACTCCATTGAATCTAGGTGCTAAAGCTGTTATAAAATTTATGCTAAAAGTCTACAAAATCTGAGCACTTAACAATTATCAAAAGGAAATAAAAAAATCATGCTTTCAGCTCCATACACAGGGTCCTCTCTATTTTATCAACGAGGCGATAAGAGAAGAGCTTGGGATGGACGTTGTCATTCACTCATTGCCATTTGTCTCACTGTAGAGAGGATGGCGACAAATTGGGCAGCTGCGACTGCAAATTTAAAGGAAACATTTCAAGTAATGCAAGTTAAACTTTTTTTAATTAAACGCGAGAATATTCAAGTCAAGAGCACCGTAAAATCACGAGTAGAACTAAAAGAGACTGCAAAGCTCACAATCGACCCTGCATTGCTGTGGATTCAGAACTGTTCTAAAGCTGCACGCAAAGAGAACTTTTCTCTCGAGTGTTGTTAGACCAAAACCCAGCTAATCACAACAGCCAATTAGAAGTTAATATCACAAACCAATGAGAGATTCCATTGAAACAAAGATAAGTTCCTTCAAAAGAAAGAAGACGCAGGACACAATAATTTATTTCCACCCCTTAGTTCACGCAGCCAGAAGTCGAGAGATGGACAGAGTCAGGCAACTAACCCCCACACACTCCGCCACAACTCCACATACAAAACTGATTCAGAATTCTAACCAGATACCGTCAAATGGAGGGGACCACAAACGCGTTATTCGTTTTGTAAGTTAATTCATAAAAAATCACGACTTTGTGAGCATACTTACACGCCATTCTGTATCATTGCAATGGCACACTCTCTATGAACCTTGTGTGAGCATGGCAGAATTTGACAACCGCTGAATGCGTCCTGAAAAAAAAAGTTCCAAACGTCCATTAAGTAAAAGTATTTACAGGTATTATCCATCAGTTTAACTTTTAAAATCATTTCTTATTCGAATAATTCCATTAAACGCTTTCTTTTGTACTCAGAACCTTGCTAAAAAAACTCAAGTGCTCTCTTAGTATCTTGCTGGATTTGTTTCTCAAACATTACATTTTCTAGATTTCACTTTCATTGTCGACAACAAGGCTATAATTAAAGCAGATGGGAAAAAGCTGTTGGCCAATATTTCCTCTTGCAGGGCCGATTTTGTGTGCAACTAGTGTCACGGATGTCTTTAGACAGTTTTTTGAAATCCATACTCTTGCAATAGCAGAAAGGAAAACGTTCCAATGTATAAATGATACGACGAGACATTATCCAATGGAATCCAGACATAACGGCAGTGAAAACTGTGTAGTTGCTTTATATTAACCGAGCATAAACATTGACCAACAAAACTAAATTTATAGATAGAACACAACAAATAACATAATGTTTCACAACGCTATGAGAACACAAAATATTAATAATGCAGTAGAACTGATGACGAAATCCGCAAACACCGACAATCATTTAACAGGTAGACACGACAAACAAGAAACGATTTGATGTTATAAGTTTGTTCTGTTGTCTCACGACAAGGTCACTTGATGTAGAACGCAACGTTTCGACTGCTTTCTGAAGAAGACTTGCAGTAAGCAGTCGAAACGTTGCGTTCTACATCAAGTGACCTTGTGGTGAGACAACAGAACAAACTTATGATATCATCCAACTACCACGATGAACAACAACCTATTTCTTAACAAGAAACAATTTGTAACGAACAAGACAGAGAAATCCCCTTCTCTGGAAATTTTGCAGCAACACCGTGTTAATGCGAAAAGTAAGTCACTACCTCCAAACAGATTCAGCACTCATCATGTCCTGAATTTTCTCGACAAGAATGTCTGCCTTCCAGCCTTTTGTCCAGACAGACGTTACACACATCGCAGTGGAAGGAGCGGTCTTTGAAGATGCTGAAACGAAAACATGAACATCACTTCGCAGGTAAATACTCGAGCAAACTTAACATGACTCGTAAAGAAAATAAGTTGCTTAAGCAAAGTGAAAACCCTATATTTCTACTCGATTCGATCTACAGAATGAAATCCTGATGCCTATGCGGAAGCAAAAATTGATATTTGATATATCTTTTGAATACGATTTCGCAAAGACGGAGGAGAAAACAATGGCGGTGTTAAGTTTCATATGCGTATCGATAAGGGCTTGTCTCTCTCTTATTAAGCGTTGCTCTCGTGCTTAGGCTAGCGCCACAGTTTTCTTTCCATTCATACGATAACACTTGATATTGAAGCAGACCAATTACTCCCTTACTCTTTTGTAAAAAAAGAATATCATCCAACAAACGAAAAACGAACAATTTTGCCATGGATATCGTTTCACCTACCGGCAGATACCACATTTTGTGCAGTGATATGGATTTTTGTCTGTGCCCGTGAAGTGTTTACACATAGAACAGAAATATGCCGAGAACTTTGTTTTACAACTGGCACAGGTTTGGGCGTCCTGGTTGATCTTAAAAAACAAGAAAGCATTAAGAGCAAATCGCATATAGTCTGAATATAACTTCTTCATTTCCAGATTTTTGAAATTTTGAATAAATGATATGTCTAAATACCTCTTGTTGATGGCCACAAACCGAGCACTCAACATAACACGCCTCTCTTGCTTTGGAATTATCATTTGAACACCCAGAATTGTTATGACAACGATGACAAGGAAAGAACTTTCCGCAGCATGGGAACTTGACGCGACAGAGCCGCTTATAATGTTCACAGAGCCATTGTCGACCCTCGACATCAGCGGAGGTTTGCGTAAGTGTTCCTCCTCCACCTCTTATCGGGTTGCTGACTTCTTCTCTGTCATTCCTGCGTTCCGCTTGTCTTGTTTTACTTGCCTCCCTTTCTCTTCTTTCACGTGCTTGTTGTTCTTTCCTGACCCGCTCTTCTTTTCTTCTTCGTTCTTTTTCCTTCATTGCTTTTTCTTTTTCTTCCTTTCTTTTCAAGTTTTTTTCGACAAGGGAACAGGTTTCGGCTACTCGTCGCTCTAGGTCAGCTAAGGAATCATCATTTGAGAGAGGTGAAGTTTCGTTCAAGACACCCAGTGGCCCTTGGTTAGCAGTGTCCTGATCTGCATCTGTTCTTGTTTCCCATGTTAGACTTCTGTTCATGGCTGCTTGTGGTAGAGCGGAGATTTCCATTTCTGGGGAGATCAGACCTTGTGCAATTGAACAGGTATTAGATAAACATGCAGGATTTCCATTCATCACTTTGAAATCAGAGTTTTTCTCCCGTTGTACTTCAGGATCGGTACGTTGATCCTTGACTTTTCTCTGCTGTGGTAAAAGGGGTGTTTGCGCCAGCAGCGAGTTACCATCGATCAAAGCATGCGGAGGTATCACTACAATTCGCGTGTCATCGCAGGAAAGGTTATGGAGATGCTCCGATCCGTTGCAAGGAAGAGAAAGTAGAGGACGAGCAGGCACTGGTAGATCCCAAACTACAGGGTTAGGATCGAAGGGGCCATGAGGATTTGGACCTTGTGCTTTAGCAGATACCTTTGAACTTTTAGAATGAAACGAGGGTGCTTGAAAGGAGTAAGTAGCTTGATAGCCTTGCTCAGTAGTGAAAAAAGATGACTCTTGATGCCTTGAGAAGGTGTTGGAAGACCCTCCATTGACGTTTTCCGCTGTATTCTCTATGTCATCGATAGGAGTGGTAATGCTACTGTCATCTGTGTGGCGAGCAAGAAAGCAAGGCCTTATACCAAAGAAATTTGATTCTTTTTTATCTACGGTGTTTTGCATATCATCTCGTAGTTTAACCCTCTCAGGCTTTGCGTCGTTCCAGTTAATAACCGATTCGAGATTCTCGTAACCTTGGCTCCTGTTAGAGAAAAATGGATCTTGTCCTCCACCTTTTAAGCCTAGAAATTTCCCAGGCGTTGTGTTGTGACTTTTTACTGATAGATGCTCTTTACTCTTGTTTTTACTCTCTTGAGATATCTTCAGTGACTTAGAATCGACTTTACGTTCTCTATTTCTTCGGTTTTCATCCGTAACATCATTGCACCAGCTGGTTGAGGCAGCAGCACCACCATGACGCTCCACCTGGTCAGTAATTCGTGGAAGGTTGTCGGATAGACCACCTTCCCCTTGAAAAAGTGGTTTAGCAGATCCAGTTGAGGAATAACAAGGATGATAGTTTTGGATTGTAGAACTATCGCACGAAGCATTTTTTACTGCACCATCAACTTCATCATCCACAGAATGCCCTTGCCAAACATCGGTTTGAATACACTTATCCAGGTTTTCTTTACTCTCACGTAATTTGCCTTCCATTTGAACCCTCAAGGTTAATGGTGGAACGAGTGGTGGTTGATTTATCTGTCCTTCCTCTGCATCGTTGCTACTATCGTTGAACTCTGAAACACTGAAATAAGCCATGCTAGATCTTTCTTCCTCCGATTTTGCACGTTTTGGAGCTTCTTTATCTCGTTTCTTCAATTCGAAACCACACGAATAGACGGAACTCGCTGATAATTTACCTTTCTCTGCCGGCTCTGACCTTGACCTTCTGGAGACCTCATCAGTACCTTCTTCACAGGAGGATGATGACGATGAGGTAGGAGATGATGATGACAATGACGATTGTGGTAATGATGATGATATACTTACTTCACTGGATGATGAAGTGGGTTCCACCAGATCTTCAGACTCATGACAGTCACTAAGCTCTGTTTGAGTGCTAAGATCACATGTTGAGGGAATACTCAAGGAATCTGTTTGTGTTGATGATTCCGAAAGAAACGACTCTCTGGAAAGCAAGGTTGGAAGGGGAGAAATACGGCCTGGACGTTCGGCTTTAAGCTGCATTTCTAGCGGCTGGTGTTCCTAAGATCAGAACGAATTAAAAACTATAACGACAGCCCAAAAATAACTTCTGATCCTGCTATGGGGTTTAGGCAAAAAGGAGAAGTTCCTTAATTTAAAAGACAACCAAATTTTAGGTTTCTTCAATGTAATGCATAAATCCCTGAGGTAAGCAGAGAAAGCGGTACGAAAGGTTCCTATTCTAACCCAGTCATATTTTTGGTTTTGTTATATTGGTAAGCCGGATTTTACATTTAGCATATGAACCGTCGCAGAACAAGGATTCGTCATGATGATTGAAAAACAAGTTTTATGCCTACAGTGATTAATACAACATTCAAAACACTTACTCTCATTGAAATATCCCTTGCATTTTCAAGCAAATGTGATGCAACACACCAGGCATTATCACTTTTTGTCTCGAAATGAAAGCCAAAACTACGAGCACATTTTTCCATTTTGTCAGCGATGACCATCTCAATAAGAGAGCAATTGCACGGTGAAACTTCTTCGCGGACAATCTCAACTTTTCTACGGCCTTGAGAATAGTAAATCAAGTGGGTTTTCACTTTGATGGTGTCTTCATGGCACTGAATTACGATTTGTCCGATGGGTGGACCTCGAATTTTCAGCACGAGCTGGCTGTCTTTGACTACCATGTTCACAACCTCACCAAGCTCGTCCTCATCGGCTAAGATTTGTTTTAAAAGCTTTCCGAATAAAAAATCCGCAATTACTTTGTCTTGCAAGATAAATGCTAGGCTTCCTTCACAAGTGTTCCCTGTGTAGACGAGAACCGGAGATTGCATTTCAAATTCTGAACCATCCTTAGCTTTCGATAGAACGAGTGGCAAAAGGGAAAAATGATCAGAAATCGAAGAAAGAGTGCTTTCCGTAGAGCTCAGGAGTTCCAATTCTAGGAAATATTGTGTTGTCAATTCTGTGTTCTGATTGCTGCATAAGATCAAGTGAGGTAGACTGTCCTCTACTCCATTCACACTCCATGCGTTTATTTTATTCAATGCTGAAACATCAACTCCACGAGATATTGGACTCTCCACAAGAAATCTGCAAGATTCTTTCCACTGATTATTATAAGCTTTGAGTGTCAAAGTTTTGAAAATTTGCCTCGATTTCCTTTCTCCAAAGTTGTCACCTTTATGTAAAGATTTTGTAAGCTCCTTGCTTTGAGAGTTACAGGGAGTATCTGCATCGTTTTCGTCAGTGACTTTTCGATTGTTCATCATCCCAAGAGGCGTCAAAAAAATCAGGTCATGCATAACTTGTTTGCCAAGACAATGTATCTTTGAACTATAAAACGCAAAGCGAACCTCTTCAACGAGAAATACATGAGTTACCTGAGGTGACTGTTGGTTTGACAGGAAAGAAAATAAACTATGCACATCAGCTAGCATCTCGTACATTTCCATTTCTACAAACGCCTGAAGGATTACAGCCAGAGCAATCATCAAGTTTGTATTTTCGTCAAAAAATATAGTTTTGCTCTCCGGTTTATCAAATCTCTTCGCCTTGTCCACAATGAAGTTCGTTATCCTTCGAAACTCAATTTTTAATCTCTCTCGAACTTTCGGGACGGTTTGACACGTCTTAGATTTGAGATGACACACAACAAAAATCACTTTCAGTAAAATGACTTCAGAACAATCCAGATGATCATAAAACATACTTGCATATGTACACGAGAGAAAGAGAAAAGCGACGCTTTGATCCACTCCAACGTTAAACAAACAAAGACCAGCTTTGAACCAGTTAAAGCTCAGCTTTGCATATAAGTCCTTGGAGACGGAGGAATCCACAAAATCATCACTTTCTGAGATTGTTCCTGGACAATCCCCAAGATCAGTCGGTTGATGCTGGTTGAGAACCCTGGTTATTTCCATACCAAACTCAGAGACCAGAGTTTCAAGTTTTAGTTGTTCTTCGGGATCAACATCGGGAGATGGTGTTCTTCCGCTTTGTGAAGACAATTCAATGAATTTTGGCTTTAATTGACACTCAAATGAGACTTGGCAAATCCTTTCCACATTTTCCAGAACTGTCTGACTGTGCGTTAAAGATTTTTCTTCATATCCACCGAGCCATTCTAGCCTCGCAAGACCTGCATTGCATTTGAGAACATCGGGGTGAATAGCACCAAAAGCTCCGGTGAAAATCTCTAATGCCTCGGTAAAACACTGCCTAGAACGTGCGAAGTTTTCTAAGTGGAGTAAAATAATTCCTTGTTTTGACAGAATAGAAGCAACTGTTGGGTGATCTGCACCACATCTTTCACGAACAACTGGTACAAGATAGGAGAAATAGCTACAGACGAGGTCAAGATTGCCGTGATAAAGGTGAATGTCGGCCACAGTCTCCACAATTGTAACTGAGAAGTCTAACGAAAAGTTTGTACCAATATCAACAAGTTCCTTCATCCCTTGCAAGGTCGAAATCTTAGAGTCAATAAATGCCGTGGCCCCACTAGAAGCTTGAAGCATCAAACAAACTAAGCGGATTTTTAACAAAAGGAAGGTTAACAAACCCTCGTTTAGGTGAAATTTTGTTTCACAAAATGCTTTTAAGTTTTCAAATTCGACCAAAGCTTTTCTAAGGTTTCTGTTATCCAAAGAAGTTACGGCTTCATTGTAATCAACAACTGCAGTGATTCTTGATTGTATGGCAAAGCGACTTACATTAGAAAGGAGATCGTTTTGTAATTGCATGTCGATTACATAACTTCTTTGAGCCTGTTGCACTAGTCGTAAATTGTTTGCTATTGTTGATATTTTCTCTTGGACAGTGACACACTCTTTTCCTGTTTCGACGACCTTAAATATCGCAAGAGCTCTTTGAAGACTAACTTTTGCGTTTTGAAAGCTTCCTTTGCTAATATACACGCAACCTAAGTTGTTAAGGGCAATTCCAAGGCTAATAATTGATTCTTCGTCTTCAGCATTCTCAATGTACATTATCGACTGCTCAAATACTTTCTCAGCTATATCAACACAAATCGTGATTAAAGCAACAGCACCAACTGCATTGGCAAAGCGGACAAGGAAGTTGTTCTTAGGAGTTGTTTGGGACAACAAAATTGCTCCAGTTTGAAGACCCCACGCCACATTATCTATCGATATTTTCTCTGCCTTGTTTACTATCTCTATCTCCTGTAAAGTGGGTTTGGATAACTCACTTGGCGTCAAGTCCTGGAAATACTGGTGAGTTTTTTGCAATGACTCTTTTACTCGAACTAAGTCCCCCTGTTGCAGGTAGTTAACTGTTAATTTAAGCAATTCAGTTCTGTCTGGGGGATCCATTTTCCTTGTTTCTAGGATAGAGAAAACAGCTGGTTCATTTGGAGTAAGTCCCTTTAACTTTAATGACGGTGATGGTGATATTGATGGTTGTAAAGTTTATTTACAGATTTCTTTGCTCCACCATAATATAACATTCATTCTCAGTTAAAACAGTCGAACCAAATTGGAAACATGATGTGAAACGATCCTTGAAAGAGTCCTCTCGGTTTTTTTTCTTTTATATGTATTACGGGACTAGTCATTGTGGAATCAGTCGTTAAAAACAGAGTGTAAAGGGGGACTGTAAATCAGCCAACCAACCTTCCTACCCCCCGTGATAAATCTTGACAGGTCCCTAAACGACAGGTCCACGAATCTACATGACTTACATGTCTTACAGTACATTCCGTGTGACCTTTTGTCAAGTTGTCTCACACGTTAAATGAAAAAAAGCGAAGGCCTGCAAGAGAAATAACTATTTGTTCAAGCCGCCAGGAAAACGATATGTGTTTTCCATAGAGTTAGCGTTGACTAGACTCGTAATTGGCGAGCAAACGCGAGAGGAAGTTTCTTCGTTCGAGCCCGTCCACGATTAACTCCTGCTACCCAGTTGCTACGTGACGTTGGTATCGAACCCGTTGGTTATGGAAGTGAAGTGGATATAGTTTTCTGAGCAACATTTTTATACTTATGTACATACCGTTTCGTCACCCTATGTCGTCCAACACTCCTGAGTTTGTTTACATTTGGATCAGTTGACAGGACTGAACCTACAAACACGAGAAACCGAGCGAAAAGCTTTAAGATGCTCTTGTTTGAGAAGGAAAGAGAACCGCTCATAGAGCACTATACAGTTTGAGAACATTGGCTCGCTGATTATTATTATTTGGATGGGATGCCATAATGCGATTTACTAATAGTGTTTATATTTAATCAAGTCAAAGGGTTATCAATGGGCAGTGGATCGTGAACAATTAGTACGCTAATCAATCATTTTATGATTCAATCTACAAGTCGCAATTTAGCATATGATTACGTGAGCTTGCTGATCTTTCAGCAGAGCATGAAATTTAGTTATCACACCACATCGTCCACAAGCGGACATAAAACTTAAGATTATCACTTGCTTGTAAAACACTAAAGTGAACTTTCTCATGACATGTTTTAAGAAAGCAATCACGGAAAAATACGCAGAATTACAAGTCAAAAATTAATCAACATTATAGTAAGCGTCTGTTACAAATTTTGATAAGTTTGTAACGTATCAAGAAATGGTCCTTCGTTCGTCTGTTCTCTCAGAACGCATCAGCAGCTTCCGGCCCAGTGCAGTTACATCTTAAGAAAGATCGCACATACACAGTTTGTTAACAAGTCTACAGCATATATTCCAATCTAAAACCAAGGGTATACTGGTGCCAAGTGTGTTACACTCTCATACATGTAAGGATGCGTTTGAGGATGTGCTTTGTGAAATATCAACGCAAATAAGCTACAAATCTTACAAATACAAAGCTTTAGAAATCATCATTGATATCTACCATAGAGAAATCATCAGCTAGGTGGACGTGGCCATTGTACAGCGTGCTGGCGCGGAATCTCGACTTTCTAATGCATTAGAACGAGGTAACGATTTTGGCGCCGAAATTTGAAACTTATTGCGTGATGTACTAATAATAGTGGCTTACTGCTACATAAGTAGCCAACATTGCCCGGGTATCCAGCCAAATATTGTGGTTGCCATTCACAAGAGAGATATTTATAGTTGTCGTTAACTAACTATCCGATGGTTTTGTGCGCTTTGACGGGTTGCACGACAGAGCGGTGGAAACTAGTGACCGTTCTAACAGAGTTTTAAAGCTCCGCTGCTTGTTCTCATGGCTTCAACGCCACAGTAGAGGGGGAGGTAAAGTTAAGTTAAGTATCTACCACCTTTCGAGTTAAAAGATATTGGAACTGACACTACGAGTCACTACGATTGTCTACGATCAGATGCGAAACGAGAACAGTGGAGGCTCGTTTTGGCTAACTGAAAAAAGTTACATTCGGAATTTTGTTAACTACATACAGGAAGATATTGTTAGGTTTTCTCAGAAACGAAACGAATCTGTTTTAGCTTCAGGGCGATATTTACCTGTAGGCGAAAGAAGCCAGTTGAAAGGAAGTTGTTTATGAAATATGTAAACAACTTTAAGCTGGAAAAACAAACTTGTGAACGCACGATCTTATAAAAAAGATCCTAAAATGCAGGAAACAAAAACACTTAAAAGAGAAGCGAATATATCACAAATAGAGAACTCTGGCGACTCAGAGATTTTAGTTTAGATTAAAGTTATAATTTTCTACTTGGAAAATGCAAACTTTTCCTCGTTTCGCGTAAATTAGTTATGTAAAGATCTCCGCAAGTTCTGTGAGTCGTAACCAAATTAGGTCAAAAATCGGTAGAATGAAATAGCTTGCCTTTTGTCTGTAGTGTTGGGAAGCAGCTGTCATTCTAGATCTCACCATAACTTTTTAGAAGTTTCCTAGCCATCTAAGCAAAGTGAGACCGTCGAAATTTACAACGCAAGTTTACATACCTATAGATGGTAATATTAAATTGGAAACAATTTTTCGGAAAAAATTATTTCGAATTTAGTGAGAATATACCCAAAATTCACTTTCACGTGTTTGAAAACACATAACCAGTAACCGCATGTTATTCAGGTGGCATTTGTGGCAATATGAGGTTAGCATCAAAACATTAGAGATCCCCAAATTCCTTATATACTCGTTTTCCGAATTCCAGAGAGTCCGAAGTTCCATTCCTTCTTTCTGTCTATCATAACGTCAATATCCGCGGTAGCTTCGAAACATTTCATCATTATTCGCATTCAGGTTTTCTACCAAAGCGTTCAACATTCTAAAAAACCTTATGTTGTGTCTAACACATAAATAGATTTCGAAAATTCTTGTATATGCTTCTTTGATAGCTGGAGAAAGCGACCAGTTTTCCTAGAAAAACTACCGAGCACGTATGGTTGAGAAGCTACAGTTCCCTCTTGTCGTAATATATTATTCACATCTGTCGAAAGCGATGCCTTGACAGTGTCTCTTTACTTTGCGTGTTGTGTATTACTTAAATTTCGGAAGTTTTCTTGCCGATGATTTCGAATTCGCTAAACGCAGAGACTTCAGTTGAGGCAAGAATCGTTAACACTGATAGTAAGTTTAGTTACCGTTGTTATTCCAGTCTTAGTTCACTTGAAACAAAGACCTCGTGTTAAAAAAAAAAAAAACCAAAAAAAAACCAATATAACAAAACAAAAAAAAACTACGGAATGAAACACGGAATTGAATGTTTCTTTTGAATTATCACCAGAGTAATTCTAATATATATCATATCACTTTTCTATTTCTTGTCCTAATGTCACTTTCAGCCCTGCGATTTTCCGACCAACGTAGAAAGCGAAGTTAGCGAAGCGGACAAAATAATATTGTTTGTATTCTATGTATACATATAATTAATCAGAGCGACTTTGCACTGTCCGATGGAGAGGTAGCAATGTCCTATTTTGGTGATAAACCCATTTGGTATAACTATTGTTACAACTACGATCATGTGATTAGATGTTACCCCAAAACATTCACAACATTCATCGAAGATGGCGAAAGTCTGGGCCTGTTTTGTCAAAGTAAACAAGCATATCGTCAATGATGATTGAAAAGGTCATAGACAGGCCTACACAGACTCCCCTGTGTGGTTTTACGTTTGCGACGCAAAAGCCTTTAATTAAAGCTTCGCTCTGACGAGTATGTCTTTGAGCGATTTATCTCTTTTGTATGATATAATCGGAGGCATTTTGTAAATTGTTTTCAGCAGTGGCTGATTTTGGATGAGGTTCCATTCTTGCATTAACCTTTTTTTTTAAATTATTAACCCCTGGGTGGTATGCTGTCACAAAAGGCAATATTTTGCCTGTAGTTTTTTTGGTTTGTTTTTTAAGTGTTGACTGCCTTGCGGCAAACGAGACCTCAGATAACGTTTTTTCAATTAGGCTTTTTGGGTAACCACGTGCTTCAAGTCGTGTTTTGAAGTTACACATGGCCTCCTGGAACGAACGAACAATTGACGAACAATTGAAAAACCAACACGGTTTTTCTTGTCGGGGTTTGGGCTCGGTTCATGTTGACGTCACGGTTAATTAGACATTCATATTTTCAACGGGGAAGCCCCGCGGATGTTTTCGAGGGTATTACAGAGCGGAAGACTTACTTCTTCAATGGAATCAACTTTCATTAAATATTTTGTAGGTTTCCTTTCTCGCTTATGTTTTGTGATCTATTTTACCAAAAGATTGAGTTTAACAGAAGACACACTTTAAGAAAAGCGAGTCTAATTCGAACGGTTCTAAATGTTTGAAATCTTCATCTTTCCGTAAACTTGCGATAAACCTCCGAACAATCTCAGAGGTTTCGAAAGATTAGCCAAATCGATGGTACCAGCAGTCTTTTACGTAAGCTCTCGTTGGTCTGTCTGGTTGTAAACAAGTAGAAGGCACTCCGAGAGGACTAAGTTTGTAAAACAAATAGAATCCGTACATCCTTCATGGTGACATCGTTTCATGATCCCTCACCTCGTAAATTTGGGAGCTGGGACGAGCACTTGAATTCGAGGCTCGCATACTAGTTATTTTTCCATGAGAAATGTAGTTGACTCCCGATAACTTGAACTTCCACGGGAAAAGACTCGGGAGTAGAAAACAAAGGACCACAAATGAGGGAAAAACGATGTTTACTTTTTTTTTTTTTTTTTTTTATTATTATTATTATTATTCCTTTGGTATACATATTCGTCAAAGATTAAACGGCTGCTTCAATACAAATTAAATGGTTTGGACTGCAGTTCACTGTTTGTTTTGATTTGTCACTTATTGGAGGACGTGGTTTACCTTGATTCGAGTTATCGAGGGTAAAAATATAAAGAGGATTACCTGAAGGGGGAGCAGGAGATTTGAGTTATCGAGGATAAAATTTCAGTAAAT